CTTTTGTGAAGGGACTCTTGACGGAACGCTGAAGTGTGAACAGACAAGGCGAATCGAGTGCACTGTGTTGGAGTAGCAAGCTAGGGGTGTTCGTTCTACAAAGGAAAGACATTCTCACTTGTGGCACGCGCTTTGTTTCGGTAGACGAGAGTAGTGTTAATTGATAAAGTGGACTATCTTTTTTTCTCTTCCCCTTCTCCCTCTCTCTTCGTTCACCAGTTTATCTATCTATCTATCTATCTATCTATCTATCTATCTATCTATCTATCTATCTATCTATCTATCTATCTATCTATCTATCTATCTATCTATCTATCTATCTATCTATCTATCTATCTATCTATCTATCTATCTATCTATCTATCTATCTATCTATCTATCTATCTATCTATCTATCTATCTATCTGTCTGTCTGTCTGTCTGTCTGTCTGTCTGTCTGTCTGTCTGTCTGTCTGTCTGTCTGTCTGTCTGTCTGTCTGTCTGTCTGTCTGTCTGTCTGTCTGTCTGTCTGTCTGTCTGTCTGTCTGTCTGTCTGTCTGTCTGTCTGTCTGTCTGTCTGTCTGTCTGTCTGTCTGTCTGTCTGTCTGTCTGTCTGTCTGTCTGTCTGTCTATCTCTCTATCTCTCTATCTATCTATCTATCTCTCTTTGTCTGTCTGTCTGTCTGTCTGTCCGTCCGTCCGTCCGTCCGTCCGTCTTGCTTCCTGATTACAAACCTGAGTACAACTCATGCTGTTGAAGAACCGAAAACAAGAAGCAAAAAGCATATTTGTACGCCCGTGCGCCAAAGCAGTTTTTTCGAACATTGTATTCGTGGGCATATTTGTCGTGAACATATATATATATATATATATATATATATATATATATATATATATATATATATATATATATATATATATATATATATATAGAGAGAGAGAGAGAGAGAGAGAGAGAGAGAGAGAGAGAGAGATTAACTAGAGGACAGCATGCCAGCAGTGACCCTAATCCCGTCTGATTAGTCTTGTCTGTATAGTAGAGTTTACATCTGCCTGTTATCCCAGCAATGCTCAAGACCAAGCCTGACACAGCACCTTGATCATGCACGATTTCAAGGCAGCGGGAATCAAATGTGTTGACCTCGGTGCACCAGTTTTTCGGGTCAGATTAAAAGTTAATGCTTCACTGACGTCATAAAACTTGGGGGAAAACCCATAGGTCCCCCGTGCAAAGGTCACCAGATGCTGATTGTGTGCCTTGACTTTATCAAGTGCAGGTTCTTTATTAATATCCAACCCCAGATGACGTCACAGGACAGTCCAACATTTTAGAGGGTGGTAAGACTGGGTTTCCTGGCTTTCTGGTGCTTTTAACGACCCCAAAATATCTAGAACTGGCCCTAACCCCAACCCACCTATGTTCCACGAGAGAGTGCAGCCTAGGTCCCACGACTGCATGCAGCCTAGGTCCCACGACTGCATGCAGCCTAGGTCCCACGACTGCATGCAGCCTAGGTCCCACGACTGCATTCAGCCTATCTACCACTCCCTGAAATATTAGACTGTCCTTTGACCTGTGGATTTCCCCTGTTTGGGGTAGAGTATTAATAAAGCACCTCAAATGCACTTTAGACTGGCGTGGGCGATCGTGCCGCTCCACAACCTGCGATTTCTAGCAGTATGTATCAGTTAATATTCTGACACCCCTGCATGGCATGATTAAAGGCTATCTAGAATCGTCTTGCGTTGTCTACCTCTGTCTCTCTTGCCACAGATCTTTCCTCTCGTCACATATACCAGTTTCAACTCTCCTCATAACATAGTCTTAAAAAATCATGACCGTTTCCATCTATTGGTTGTAATAAATTGTCTTCAGAATTTCACCTTCGTCCTGGGAAAAGCAAGACGAGTAGTTAACCAGATATCAACGGGTACCGTGTACCATCAGTATAGAGACCCTTCGCTGGCAAGACGAGTAGTTAACCAGATAGCAACGGGTACTGTCAGTATAGAGACCCTTCGCTGGCAAGACGAATAGTTGACAACGGGTACTGTCAGTATAGAGACCCTTCACTGGCAAGACGAGTAGTTAACCAGATGGCAACGGGTACTGTCAGTATAGAGACCCTTCACTGGCAAGACGAGTAGTTAACCAGATGGCAACGGGTACTGTCAGTATAGAGACCCTTCACTGGCAAGACGAGTAGTTAACCAGATGGCAACGGGTATTGTCAATATAGAGACCCTTCACTGGCAAGACGAGTAGTTGACAACGGGTACTGTCATTATAGAGACCCTTCGCTGGCTGTCGAGGGCCAGAAAAAGGGGGTGGGGTGGGATACGGAGCTATCGTATTCTTGAATGTTACGATGTGGAATCCTTACGCAGATGAACCCAGGACATATGTCAGAACTTCCGGGTGACTAATCTTGGCTATCCAGGGAGTTTAAAACCGGTACAGAATGTGAACGTTAAATATATGTGTCTGGGGCAACAAAGCAAAGGAGACTATAATATCTTAGGAGAGCTGCCGGTGTGACAAGAAGAGATAAAATCAGGAATGAAGAAATTAGAAGAAGACTAAGACTGAAACCAGTCAAAGAGTTAATAAAAGAACACAAATGAGATGGTTGGCACTATTAGTTACAACTAACTAACTAAGTGTTATGGTTTGGCCACCTGACGAGAATGCTCTGGTACCAACTGCCACAGAGAGCCACGCTGAAGAAATATAATGAACACAGAGCAAGGGGAAGACCACGAAAGAGATGGAGCGACATAATTAAATGCAAACTTACAGTGCATTGGCAAAAGTGCACAAACGATCCTAACATTTCCCCCCAACACCTCGGTAAGGTAAATGGTGGAAGAGAAGATAAAGGGAGTTTTAAGATTGCTTTTGCGAAATCCAGTCTCCGTGACCTCAAGCATTTGTTTTGCTTGTTTATTAATTGTCCGGGATTCAAACAGGGCTGTTCAGCTGTTTACTCATTTTGCAAAATTTTGAAACCGGGATCGTCAGGAATCGCAGGCCCGATGCTCCAGCATAGAAAAGTCAATAATACTATACACATGGCAAGGATCTGCGAGCCGCTTGTTATACCTCTGCGAACCAGATTTGCCCACGGACCACAAGTCAAATAGCCTTGCTCTAGAATCACCCCCGTTCCACCTTCCCCCTCTTTCTCCAATGCCCCATTGAACTACATTGTTTGAGAATCACCGAATGAGATTCTTTCTGCTGAGCTGGTTCACATTCTTTTTCTTGGCTGTAAATCTTGAACAAATGTTTGCTCTTCTCATTGTGCGTGTCAATAGTCGGCTGTACGCACCCCTGACAGTAAGTAGCTTGTCCTCTTTGTTGGTCTCTTCTAGTTCTGTGATGTCTCCAACAAATATGTCACATTCTGCTGTCGCTTGTGTGATGCCCTGTTGGGGTACCTACTACCTACATTCGGATGTCGCTTGTGTGATGTCCTGGTGGGGTACAACTTACATACCTTCTACCTACATTCCGATGTCTGTGTTGGTGAGTTAGTGACTGCACACGAAAGAAACAGACCGTTGTATTTTGATTGCGAATTGTTCCTGCGTTGGCTCTGGGTCTCGGGAAGGGGGGTGGGGAGGACCCACTTCCCTCTTAACAAGCATATTGTAAAAGTCTACTAATTATGGGTGGAGTGCATCTGCCTGAGAGACAAATAACCAACACCCCCGTGTGGGTTCCGGGACCCCATTGAGGTGGAAAACAAGAATAGATCACTGCCTCCCCAACAGGAATCGACCTACTGCCTCCCCAACAAGCATGTCGTAAGAGTCGACTATTTTGGGATTTCCTTCGAAGTCGGAGTGCATCTGCCTGAGTGGCAAGAAACCGGCAGTCTGCGTACAGATAAGTCAGATCTCTAAAACGAATGTGCACGCGACACTTAAGTTCTGGAACAAGTCTTAAGTCCAGAGGTGGGTGAACAACCAGAATTTTCCACCAAAGTTTACAGCTGATAAGCGCGAGAAAGAAGAAGAAATAACCAACATTCTGCGTAAAATAAGACAGATCAGTAAAACGGATGTGCACGCCAAACTTGAGTTCTGGAACAAGACCACAGACCAGAAGTGGATGAATCACCAGAACCTTACTTCGGAGTTTGCAGCCAGTGATCGCTGAGAAAAAAGAAGAAGTAAATTTCAAACCAAAAACTCAAATTGCCTCTTCATTACGAGACAGACGTGGAACGAGTGGGGGAAAAAAATCTGCCATAAGTTTATGGTTATCTCACTCAAGCTCCTATATTTCTCGCTCAGTCTCATAGTTGGCTTCTGCTACTTATATAATTTTTTTCTAGGCTTTTTTTTTTAAATGAGAATATTATCACACTCAATCTGCACAACTTCCGGTTCTCGCCACAGGTGTTGGCCTCTTACAAGTTTACTACTGCCCGTCTCCACTTGACACAGATGCGCGCGCACTTACACACACACTCCACACATTAGGAGTATGTGAAAATTGGTTAAAGTTTTAATATATCCGGTGTCTTCCGCACCGAATATTTCAAATTTTGTGCCTCTCTATTTTCGTGTGACCTTGTTTCTTTGAATTTAATTTTTCCTAGGTGGTTTCGAGATCCCAGTTGGGGGGGGGGGGGGTGTTGGAAGTAGACCGCTGCCTTAACAAGCATGTCGTAAAAGGCAACTAATTAGGGGTTTTCCTTTGATATTGGAGTGCGTCTGCCTGTGAGGCGAGAAACCAACAGACAGCAATGAAATAAGCCATACATGTCAAACGCAAAACTCAAATTCTGGAACAAGACCAGAGTTCGTAAGTGAGCGAACACACTGAGTTTTCCACCAGAGTTTACAACCGGTGAAGGAGAAGAAGTCGAAAAATAAGAAAGAAGATGATGAAGAAGAACAGTGCAAGACAGCACATTTGATGGATTCTCTGCTCTTTGCCGTCTTGCAGATGTCACGGTGAAGAACGAGACACAGACTGACCAATCGCTGTTGAGACTATAACCGTTACTATGGGATACAGGGGTCGCTCCAGGCTGACCCTGTTCTCTTTACTGTTGAGGGCGCTGATGCTGCTGGCTGGAGCACAGAGTAATTCCATCACAACGTCGGACTCGTCCCAGGGAGTGTGTACAGTCAAGGGGCGTGTGTTCACACAGAGGAAGTGAGTAGAGTTGATATCTTCATTGTCTTCGTCTGTAGGAGCTTCAGTCTCATCATCATCACCATAGTCGTCGTCGGGTTTATTTATTGCTATTATAATTATCTTCTTCTTCTTGTGTTTTCGTTCTCCATGTCAGTGATTTTCAGATAATCTACTTGTCTTCCCCAGCAGGTGCGGGTAAATAGTACAGACAAGTATCTATTATCTAGCATGTCTTCCCTAGCAGGAATGGGTATATAGCACAGATAAGTATATTATCTAGCATGTCTTCCCTAGCAGGTATGGGTATATAGCACAGATAAGTATATTATCTGGCATGTCTTCCCTAGCAGGTATGGGTATATAGCACAGATAAGTATATTATCTGACATGTCTTCCACAGCAGGCATGGGTAAATAGTACAGACAAGTATCTATTATCTAGCATGTCTTCCCTAGCAGGAATGGGTATATAGCACAGATAAGTATATTATCTAGCATGTCTTCCCTAGCAGGTATGGGTATATAGCACAGATAAGTATATTATCTGGCATGTCTTCCCTAGCAGGTATGGGTATATAGCACAGATAAGTATATTATCTGACATGTCTTCCACAGCAGGCATGGGTATGTAGCACAGATAAGTATCTATTTTCTAGCATGTCTTCCCCAGCTGGTACGGTTATATAGCACAAAGTATCTATTATCTAGCATGTCTTTCCCAGCTGGTACGGGTATATAACACAGATAAGTATATTATCTGGCATGTCTTCCCTAGCAGGTATGGGTACATAGCACAGATAAGTATATTATCTGGCATGTCTTCCACAGCAGGTATGGGTACGTAGCACAGATAAGTATCTATTTTCTAGCGTGTCTTCCCTAGCCGGTATGGGTATATAACACAAAGTATCTATTATCTAGCATGTCTTCCCAGCTGGTCCAGGCATATAGTGCATGAAGGCATCTATTATCTATGACGTCTTCCCCAGCTGGTACGGACATACAATGCAAAAAAAGCATCTATATATCTACTTGTCTTCCCTAGCCGGTACGGGTAAATAGCGCAAAAAAGCAACTATATTTCCACTTGTCTTCTCCAGCCGGTACGAGTTTGTAGGACACAAAAAAGCATCTATTATCAACATGTCTTCCCCAGCTGGTGCGGGTATATAGCACAGACATGTATCTATAATCTGACATGTCTTACCCATCTGGTACATGTAAATAGCACATAGAAGCATCTATTATCTAAAATGTCTCCCCCAGCTGGTACGTTTATATAGCACATACAAGCATCTATTATCTAACATGTCTTCCCCAGCTGGTACGGGTATATTGTTCACAAGGCCTTCAACAGAGACTACGCCAAGATCCAGTACCAGATCATGTACCCAATCAAGGAGTGCTGCGCCAACTTGCTCATCTATTACGACGACCAGGTCAAGCAGTTGCGCCCCTCCATGACCTGCGAGCAGCGGTTAGCCGTCCTACCTGCAGATAACAACCAGGTGGGCGCTGTCTGTCTGCCTGTCCGTCCGCCCGTCCGCCTGTCTGTCTGTCTGTCTGTCTGTCTGTCTGTCTGTCTGTCTGTCTGTCTGTCTGTCTGTCTGTCTGTCTGTCTGTCTGCCTGCCTGCCTGTCTGCATGCCTGTCTGTCTGTTTATATATGTGTTCACGTTTTCTGCCTTTTGGTCAATTTGTGTCTGTTTTTGTCTGTCAGACCTCTTCGTGTGAGTGCCGGCGACCCATCTGTAAAACGGATGTGCACGCAGAATCAAGTTCTGGGGAAAGACTAATGTCCAGAATTGGACGAAGAGCCAGAACTTTCCATTAGAGTTTACAGTCAGTAAAGAAGAAGTCTGCATTATTATTATTATTATTATTATTATTATTATTATTATTATTATTATTATTATTATTATTATTATTATTATTATTGGGCTCTTTAAGATGGCTTAGTCCTTATAAGGCTCCCTACTAGAGAATTTTTTCGTCTGTATTGTCCTTGTGTAGCAGGCCAGATGACAGTTTACATCCTTACCGTGTAGGTTCCAGGGCCCTGTTGTGGGGAAAACAAGAATAGACCCACTGCCTATCCAAAAAGCGTCTTGTAAGAGTCGACTAATAGGAAGCTTCCTTCGAAGTCGGATTGCATCTGCCTGAGAGGCAAGAAACCAGCAGTCTGCATGCAGATAAGTCAGATCTGTAAAACGGATGCACACCCCACACTCAGGTTCTGGAACACGACTGCAGTCCAGAAGTGGACGAACAACCAGAACTTTCCGCCAGAGTTTACAGCTGGTAAACGCGAAGAAGAAGAAGAAGTCTACATCCCCGCATCAGTTCTTACACAGCGGCCTCACCCACCCCCGCCCCAACTGCACTGGACTTCATGTTAGTATGTAACTGGTTACCTGGTGCCCTATCATCATTCATCAGTTTTTGAGAAGAAGAAAATCGTCCGGTTCAAACAGCAATACCGAAGGGGGGAGCATTAGGTTATAATTGTGACTAGGTTATAAAATGGCCTAGCATTGCACGCCAGCAAGTAGCCGTGAAAAGGACTCTTCTAGTGTTGATGCGATCCAGGTAGGCAGACCCAAATACTGTCCCGATCGGTGACGAAGTCCTCTACCGGCCAGTCAGTGGGCTACCAGGTCGCCGAGGACCCCGGGCCGCTATATAGCTCTACAGTTGAACCAGGTTTCGGTTTGATTCTCATCAATGCAATGTTAATCCTACAGACTGCAGTCCTTGCGAGGTGGAGAAGGGGGGGGGGGGGTGGAGGGTTGGCTCGAGTTCTGATCATCACAGAAGTTGTTTAATGTTATCTCTTATTTACATCCTTAGAGGTGTCCGCTAGAGTGCTAGAGGTTCCGGGTTCAGTCCCCAGTAACGGCTGAGATTTTTTTCCGTGGACTTGGACTTTAGTAATCCCCTCACCCAATGGTCTCTGGGTAGTGAGATAAGACTCCCGTATTATTGTTGTTAGAAACCGACAAGAGTAGCCTAACGGCGCTGCCCCGGCAAGATTTGGAGTTAAAAATCTACCCAAAGTATTTTAGGATAATCGCTGGTGCTACAGAGCCTTTGCACTGTGCTGAGCTTCTTCGGACTCAGACTTGAGTTTGAAGAAAAAAGGAGCACTTATAAGTTATGATGTTGATCCATTGTTTAAAAAAAACTTATTTGCAAAGCAACTCCCCACAATGAACTGTATGTAACCTTTCATCAAAGCGCCGGCCTGGAGTGTTATCAACCGCGAGGCCGTGAAGAACGAGGCCGAAGCGACGTTTTTATTGCCGAGAGCACCTCAGGGAAACTGTTGTATCCAGGCACGCAACAACTTATTGTTAAAGGGCAACCCGAGAATACATAGGGCACTGGATACAGCTTCCCGGTGTCGAGTTAACGGAATCGCCAGGAAAAAATATGCGGAGCCAGCATTCCCACGACATACTGCAGGATGATGTAAGCGCGGATGAGTAGTGATGGCTGTATTGACATTAGGGGATTCCATGGTTGGAAACTTGCTGACATTTGTACGGTGTCTGTTTTTTTTTTTTTTGTTCTCCGGGTTTTTGTTTCATAAAAGTGTGCTTACGGCATAGGTTTAGAAGAGACATAGTCAATCAGATGCCTTCTGCGCTGTGAATGTCGGCTCCAATGGATCTCCAACTCCTTCTTTCATTCGTTAGCCGACAGAAGCTTGAAATTGGTTTCATTTGGACAGTATGTCTTTTTTATGTCTGTCTGTATGCCCGTCTGTCTGTCCGTCCGTCTGCAAGTTAATCTTTGTATGTTTCCTTGGGACAGTCTGTCTTTCTATGTCTGTCTATCTGTCTGTCGGTCAATCTTGTTATGTTTCCTTTGGACAATCTGTCTTTCTATATGCTTGTCCGTCCATCCGTCTGACTGTCCGTCCGTAAGTCTGTCCGTCTGTAAGTCTGTCTGTTCGTCTGCCCGTTCTTAAGTCTGTTCGTCCGTTTGTCGATCCGTCCGTATGTCTGTCCGCCCGCCTATCCATATGTCTTATCACCGATCCATTAATTTGACCACCCATTCTTCCACCCAGTTCACACAGGCCTGAGACCACCAGCTTTCACACATCCATCCTTCCACCCAGTTCATACAGGCCTGAGACCACCAGCTTTCACACATCCATCCTTCCACCCAGTTCACACAGGCCTGAGACCACCAGCTTTCACACATCCATCCTTCCACCCAGTTCACACAGGCCTGAGACCACCAGCGTTCACACAGCCATCCTTCCACCCAGTTCACACAGGCCTGAGACCACCAGCTTTCACACAGTCATTCATGTCAAGCTAACCATCTCACTTTCTCACTGGGTCTCTCCCCCCCCCACACACACACACACAACCCCCCCACCTCCCCCCCCCCGACCCCCGACTTTTTGTTGTTGTTGTTCCCCCAATGTGAACACTTCCCTCCTACAATATCTTATCACCACACAACTTCACATTCTCCTATTTATCAAAGAACACGCTAAAATTGTTACAAGCTGCGTTTTTTTCCCCCAAAGAATTCTTTATGTTTGTAATTATCAGATGCTCCTTATTTTTTCCCCCTATCTTTTTAAATATCAAATATTACATTCTCATTTCTTACAATTTTAATTAAACTTCGTTGATTGCCGTTTTTTGTTTTGTTTTTGTTTTTACTTTTTATCTGAGGAAATACAGGCGATTATCATTTTCTTAATTCTTCTTTTTCCTCTTCTTCTTCTTCTTACTCCTCCACCCCCTCTTCGTCTTCTTCTTCTTCTCCTGCTGCTGCCGCCTCCTCCTCCTGGTGCTGTGCCTTTTAGTGTCATGTTTTAAAGAGGCCTGGGGTGCGAGCCTTAGTTTGTGCCACGCAGGTGTGGGTTGTTACGGCTTGGGATATTCTATCTAACGCTTGCATGGTCGACCTCTAGATCTGCTTCCGTTCTGTCTAAGTGCCAGGAAAATGATACTAAATCAAACAAAAAGCAGAAGTAGACAGCTTCACACTATCACAAACGACAAGGGAACGTTCCCGCAAGAAAGTTACAGTCGTTTAGTGAACTAAGGATGGAAGGATTACGTCTAGACCCACCTACATTGGTTATTGCTTACTGTGAAACCATTTTATGATGCCCCAATATAACTGCTGTACAGCTATGAGCAGGGTTCTCATCATCGCATCAACACCCCAGGAGTCCTTTTCAGGGCTCTCATCATCGCATCAATACCCCAGGAGTCCTTTTCAGGGCTCTCATCATCGCATCAACACCCCAGGAGTCCTTTTCAGGGCTCTCATCATCGCATCAACACCCCAGGAGTCCTTTTCAGGGCTCTCATCATCGCATTAACACCCCAGGAGTCCTTTTCAGGGCTCTCATCATCACATTAACACCCCAGGAGTCCTTTTCAGGGCTCTCATCATCGCATTAACACCCCAGGAGTTCTTTTCAGGGCTCTCATCATCGCATTAACACCCCAGGAGTCCTTTTCAGGGCTCTCATCATCGCATTAACACCCCAGGAGTCCTTTTCAGGGCTCTCATCATCGCATTAATACCCCAGGAGTCCTTTTCAGGGCTCTCATCATCGCATTAACACCCCAGGAGTCTTTTTCAGGGTTCTCATCATCGCATTAACACCCCAGGAGTCCTTTTCAGGGCTCTCATCATCGCATCAACACCCCAGGAGTCCTTTTCAGGGCTCTTGGTGGTGTGCAGTGCTAAGCCATTTTATGTGGCGCATATAACCTAGTCACAATTATAACCTCCAGAGAGGCTGGGTGAACGTGACTATCCCCCCCTCCCCCCAGCAAAGCATCAAGCAGGGTTTCCGGAATGATTACCAGTTTGACTCTCATTCTTGAAATGTTAGTCTTACAGATTGCATCTGACCAAAATGAGAGACATGTTATTGAAGGAGACTTTTTGTTCTTCTTCTTCTTGTCCAACCATAAATTAGCCAGAAATCCTTTTGATTTCTTTTACCTGACATCCATTCACAGTATAGCCTCTAAGTGACAGGACTTACCATGGTACATTGTCTCCTCGTAGCCTTGACACATGGTCGAACCATTTAATCTGTTGTCTCTTGATGAAGTTTATTTAGTACTGGTTCCTTCCACAACATGTTTCCTGGATATCCTCGTTTCTGATCATGTCTCTTCCAGGTACATTTAAATTACACATCTTCCTGTATTCTTCTTCTTCTTTCGTGCGCTTAAAAAAATTTATCTTATTTCTGCAGTGCTGTCTCTAGTATGAACTTCATGGCTTTTTGAAATTTACTTAGTGACCTGTAAAGTTTGGCTTAGCCGTGGGTTCACATCCTGCTGGAACCGAACTTTTTTTCAGAAATGACCTTGACTCCCAGGTCGACCCAGCCTTGAGTCCTGAGAAGTAAAGGCGGCCGGCGGGATGTTGACTACGTCACGTCACCCACCAAGTGCCGATCGGTCTTTAAAAAATAGGTCTAGCCCTTTATGCCCAATACGCCTAAAGGCGTGGGAAAAGGGACCTGTAAAGTTTGGCCTCCACCAGTGTCTCTCTTGGCCAGAAGTTTTGCCTGGAAATATTGTGTTTGGGACAGTCTTGGAGGATGTGATCTGTTGTCTCAGGTGGCAGTCCATATGTGCACATGTCTGATTCGCTAATCTTAAAATGTGTATACATGTGGCTGTGAAGTCAACTGTGCCCTGTTCTAAGGCGTAGAATAATGACTTGCACTGGTCTGTTTATAATAAGGTAATCATCTTGTGCCAGTTTTGATGGCGTTCTGATTAATTTGATTATTCTCTTCTTCTTTTCTTCCTGAACTAGTTGTTTGTTTGTTGGGTTTTTTTAAAACTGGTAGGGAAGAGTTTAGTTAATGTCATGGCATATTTTTGGGAATACTAAGGAAGTATATTGTGGTTTCTTTTTCTTAATTAATTATCTTCATTGGTATACTTCTTCTTTTATTAATAATTGCTGCTGATGAATGTGTTTTTTTAATGTCGTCTGCTGTAGGAAAAAGTTAAGCTAATATGCTGGAAGCATTATTAGAATACTCAAGAAAAATATGCAACTTTCAAAAGTGTGTTTCTGTGGACTGTTGTCATGGGTGACTGGAAATGGAATGTTGGAGGGAGAGAAATTGTGGATTGATATGGGAAGGGGAGATACATTACACAATCAGTGGCCTAGACCTAATCTCAGTCGTGAAGCAAGTTAGGAGTTGCTTTGTTAGGAATCACTTTGCGAGTTATTTTGCTAGGAATGGTTTTGTTATGAATTACTTTGTTAGGAGTTAATTTGGAAGTTACTTTTTATGACGCAGTGTCATCAGGTTTGCATCTCTCTGACTTCCATCTCTCTGACTTCCATCTCTCTGACTTACTTCCATCTCTCTGACTTCCATCTCTCTGACTTCCATCTCTCTGACTTCCATCTCTCTGACTTCCATCCCTTTAAAGGTCCCTTGTCCACGCCTTCAGCTGTATTAGGAATATAGGGCTAGATCTATATTTTTACAGATCAATTTGCACTTGGTGGGTGATGTGGTCAGCATCATGCCGGCCACCTTTACTTCCCAGGACTGTACCTGGCTGGGTCGACTCATCCCTTCATCTGTGCAGTGTGACAGGCCCTGTCCTGGGAGGAAACTTCTTCTTCTTCTTCTGTTGTCATGTGTGACTGGAAATGGAATGTTGCAGGGAGAGAAATTGTGGATTGATATGGGGAGGGGATACATTACACAAGCAGTGGCCTAGACTTAATCTCAGTTGTGAAGCAAGTTAGGAGTTGCTTTGTTAGGAATCACTTCTTTTTCTTGTTCTCCTGCACCTTCTTCTTGCAAAATGTTGAATTAGTCAGAAATGTTCTGTATTTATTTTGCTTGACCTCCATCCTCCATACAGCCACAGGCTGTGGCTCATCATTGTGCTTGTCATCCAGAGAGCCTCCATATATTTACTTATCAATTTCTCCCTATGGGTTTAGGAGCCCCATTGTGGAGAAAACCAAGAATCGACCCACTGCCTGCCCAGCAAGCATGTGGTAGGAGCCAACTAATTGGAGACTTCCTTCAGAGTTGGAGTGCATCTGCCCGAGCTGCAAGGAACAACCAACTAACTGCACACGAATAAATCAGTAAAATGGATGTACATGCAAAACTGGCATAAAATCCAGAGGGATGAACAGCCAGGAATTTCCACCGGAGCTTAAAGCCAGTGAACAAAGAAGAAGAACTTAACCATTATTCATCTGGTTCAAATGTGGGCAGTTTTTTTGTATCCGTGAGCCAAATGTAGAATTACCAACCTGATCATGGGCAATGTAGCAAAAATCCATTATACACACTAACACCCAGATTTCCTCATAACACAGTATTTTTGTGTGTGGGATAATCTAAGATTATAAAGATTTGGTAACATCAGTTTCTGGTTGTTACTTTTGTGTGTGGGATAATCTAAGATTATACAGATTTGGTAACATCAGTTTCTGGTTGTTACTTTTGTGTGTGTGTGGGTTGATGCTGATGTTTGGATTTTTTTTTCCTTTCTGCATACAAAGATATGTTTTTATGTTCGGCCATTTTGTGAACTCAAGAGCCAGATTTTGTAGCAATTTGACACCAGCCTCTGGGCCAGTAAAAATTGCTGCGCAGCAAGCCAGTTTTAGTCCTCGGGCCAGTTTGCCCATTCCTGATCTAGTTCTTGTGTTAAGAACTAGACATTGTCTCTGCACCACATCCATGGTTCTGTATTGTGTTTATATGTTCAGTGATCACCTTATAGACAGATTTCCTTTCTGATTGCAGGGGATACCTGTAAGAAGTGATCACCTTATAGACAGATTTCGTTTCTGATTGCAGGTGATACCTGTAAGAAGTGATCACCTTACAGACAGATTTCCTTTCTGATTGCAGGTGATAACTGTAAGTAGTGATCACGTTATAAACAGATCTCCTTTCTGATTGCAGGTGATAACTGTAAGAAGTAATCCCTTATAGACAGATTTCCTTTCTGATTGCAGGTGATACCTCTGAGAACTACCAATGACTCCAGTGGCTGCACTTTGTGGAATGAAAAAGGAGAAGACTTTTATGTGTGCCTGGGAGAGAGAATCTTCAGGTCGTCCGTGCCCAGGACCTGGTTCTTTGCCCTGAGCCATTGCGAGCACGAAGGACCCCTGAACCTGAATTATGTCTTCAATATCACAGGTGAGAGGGCTTACAGAACACATCATTACACTGTTTTGTGATGTATGTTTTGCATTCCCTAATGTACATTTTTTCTAATGTTAAATTAATCTGCTTCTTCTTCTTCACGTTCACTGGCTGGAAAGTTCTGGTTGTTCATCCACTTCTCAACTCTAGTCCTGTTCCATAACCTGATTGTTGTGTTTGACAGTTCTGACTAATTTGTTTAGGGACTGTTGGTTCATTACATCTCAGGCAGATGCACTTTAACTTTATGCGGTTTTGCACCGCTTGGCGGTGAACTGATGTATGACAAGCTGGATGTTGTGAGGTCTCTTTGGGAGCGATTGAACAGTGCCGAGGTACAGATAGATCATTATGGTCTGAGGAGAACGGCACTAGGAGGAGTTACCTGGGGATTTTGCCGGCACTTAACACTCAGGGGAAAGGCGAGACGGATAGAAAGTTATTGGTGCCATCGGAATTGGAACTCTTCACTTGCTGCTGAAGATGGGCACAGAGCACTTATGGAGGTGTCCCAAGTGCTGTAATGTCGATTCTTAATACAACATTCAACATCAACTTCGAGGAAAGCTCGCAGTAAGTCTACTCTTACGACATTGTTTTGGGTAGGCAGTGGGTCTGTTCTTGTTTTCCCCAAAAAAATGGGTGTTTTGGGTAGGCAGTGGGTCTGTTCTTGTTTTCCCCCAAAAAATGGGTGCCCAGGACCTGTACTGGGGGTTTAAAAAAATTAATCTAAATGAGAAATAGAACTAGTCAGTCACAGTGACAATGATTTGGTCATGTATGCAGAATGGGTGAGAACCATCCACCACAGCTGACATGGGGTGACAGGAACCAGACCACCAGGATGACCCAGACTTTATGGGGCAGGCCAAATCTGACAGTCCCTGAATGATAGAGGACTGGAATGGAACAAACCCAAAGTAGTAGTAGTAGACACTGAATCCACTGTAGTAAAAATCTAACATGCAAAAAAAGCAAAGTACTCATTGAAGTTTGAACAATGGATCAACATCATGGCACAAGGGTAGTAATCCATAATTGCTCCGTTCTTCTTCTAACTCAGGCTTGAGTTAGAAGAAGGACGGAGCACTTATGGGTTACTACCCTTGTGCAGTGATGTTGATCCATTCATTGTTCAAAATCTCAAACATTCAAACCTTTAAACCGCAATCTTCAAACCTTCAACCTTCAAACCATGATTTGTTGTTTGTTTGTTCTCAGGTTATCACGGGGAATGTGAAGATGATCCTCTGGCGCCTTCTTCTGGGTGGAACTCATATGTGGGACATCTGGAAAACAACCAGGAGTCGTCTTCCAATGAGGATGTCTACAGATACTTGTCCATCTCCCTGGGCATCATAGCTGGGCTAGGGCTCATCCTGGCTGCGGTGTTCTTCGGACTTTGGTTTATGGGACTGAAAAATGCCGCCAAAAACAAAGGGAGCTCTGTCACCTCATCCCAGGCCACCATGACACAGGATGACATCTTTTATGTCAATCCTTCATTGTCAGAGAGGGAGCAAGTGGAGTACAGCCAGAGCAGCTCGGAGAACTATTACGAGGTGATTCCCGAAAGACGAAGCTATGAGAGCATCAACACAGGGCTGGCCAATGGTGCGCTGCATGTGAGGCAGATCAGATCCCCCCACGGAATGCTGGGTCATTACCAACACACCCACCTGCATGGCCACGGCCATGCCCACCTCCCGCATCATGCCCACCTGACCCAGCCTAAAGATCCTGCTAACCAGAGGAATGTTCCTTATGTTCTGGAAGATTACCCCCCGCCACCTTATCAACCACCGAGATTGCTAGGCATCTCTAAAAACGCTGGGATGGGCCCAGCCCCTGGTCATGGCCACGCCATGTCCGTGCCAGCCAATCAGCGGCAAAGGCCAGCCATTATCCATCACGCCTACCATTCGAGTCTGGTGCCCTCCGCGGCTGCTCTAAATGGTATGAATCCTGGAACCAGCAGCAATGGAGGCCCTACAACCAGCAGCAACAACAGCGGCATCAACAGCATCATTGGCAGTAACTTGATCAACAACAGCAGCAGCGGTGGTCTGATGCTGAACAACATCGGCATGGGAATTCAGAGCACACCCAACAGCATGGCTACATTTGGAGGCGGGGCTGGAACCATCATGTCCAGCAACGGTGGCACCATCAGCTTGACCTCCCTGGTCAACCACCAGCTTTTGAGTGGCATCCCACCACATTCCTTATCCAACAGCAACATGCCAACCAGCTCCCACAACCATCTGCCTGGCCTGGCTGCCACCCTGGCTGGGTCACATGTCCCGGCTCCGGCACCCAGCCAATCCGAGACCAGTGCATGAAGGTTTGGCCATGGTGTCAGGCTCGATGATGTCATTGCTGGCCAATCAGAGACCATTCTTTAACTACCTGACCAATGACAGGTCATTTAGCATTTATAAATGGTTCACCACCAAGTGATCATTGAAAGCATAAGTAACTTCGGTATCTGACATAATTTAGTGTGATCCGAAGGATTTTCACATGAAGTCATTGCTTGTGTAATATGAAGTCAGCATTTATGTGTTCTGAAGAATAATCACATGGTAAACTGCTGGTGTTATCTGAAGAATAATGAGACAAAGGCACAGCTTGTGTGATCTGAATGATAATCACATAAAGTCATTATTTGAGTCATCTGAAGAGTAAATCTCATGGAGTCATTATTTGTGTGATCTGGAGAGTAAACCACATGGAGTCATTAATTGTGTGATCTGAAAAGTAAATAAACCACATGGAGTCATTAATTGTGTGATCTGAAGTGTAAACCACATGGAGTCATTAATTGTGTGATCTGAAGAGTAAACCACATGGAGTCATTAATTGTGTGATCTGAAGTGTGAACCACATGGAGTCATTAATTGTGTGATCTGAAGAGTAAACCACATGGAGTCATTAATTGTGTGATCTGAAAAGTAAATCACATGGTGCCATTGCTTGTGTCATCTGAAGAGTAAATCACATGGAGTCATTAATTGTGTGATCTGAAGAGTAAACCACATGGAGTCATTAATTGTGTGATCTGAAAAGTAAATCACATGGTGCCATTGCTTGTGTCATCTGAAGAGTAAATCACATGGAGTCATTAATTGTGTGATCTGAAGAGTAAACCACATGGAGTCATTAATTGTGTGATCTGAAAAGTAAATCACATGGTGCCATTGCTTGTGTCATCTGAAGAGTAAATCACATGGAGTCATTACTTTGATGCCTGCACATGGAAATATAATTAGTGTAAATTACCTACACCTACAATAAATTTCTCATCAGCGAGAGTGTAGTGGATTATTTCATGAGCATCTCCTGTGAAACACTCTTCAAGAATGCATTCCACATATTCTGCTTCAATGGCTGATTGTGATGCTGTCACGGCCCAGTGGATATGCTGTGACTTCCAGACAAAGGGACAGTCAGTGAAATGAGTTTATTACTTAGTGCATAACCAGTGAAACTGTTTGTTAAACAGTGCACAACCACTAAAATAGTGGATTAATATGTGCACAGCCATTGAGAATAATGAATTATCCAATCCACAACCATTGACAATCATGAATTATCAAGTCCAAATCAGGGCTGTTAATGAGTTATCCATAGCACAGGCAGTGTCATTTATTGTCCAGTGTACCGCCAGTGACGGTGAATTATCTGGTGCAGGAAAATGCAATGGTACGTTCGTGTAACAAGATCTACCGGCCTCTCCAATGCTGCAGGGCTTTGTAGATTGGAAGAGAAGAGCCACAGAATGCTGTTTCCAATGCTCCATCATGTTATCTTGTCGGTGATAGATTATAGACTTGGAGTGCTTACCATATCAATAGGTCAGCTCGAACACATACAGAATGATTGATGTACAAGAGATACCCTGGCAGTATGTTTGTGAAATGTGCTTGCACTGCCTACTATTGCCAATAGCCTCAAAGTTCTACAAGCAAAGTCATATCTCAGAGTAGCTGCAGACAGGAAGCACCACCTGCATGAAGCCCTGGGTGGAGCTAAGAGTCACAACCTGAAATCAGGAAGGCCTTAAATGCCGCAAGTTGACAGACACAATTAGACATTTGTGCAGGCTTGATAAATATGAGCAAGGAGAGGGGTGGAACAAAGTGTCAGAACAAGAATCTCACTTGTGTGGGGTTCTGATCACTTTAGGTCGTGAGTGCAGGGACTGACCAGCTGGTACCGCAGAATCAGAAGTTCAACAAATGATTCATTACAGTTCCCGCCCAAGTGATGTGATTATCTATACAGATGACTCTGTCTTGAGAGGCAGACAAGGTGCATGGGGGCTCATAGCAAAAGTGAATGGACGTCGGTGGTGCAGCATAGCCTGGCATATGATATCACAACGTCTAGTTTCAGAATGGAGGTGGAGGCAGTCACTGTTGCCTTCCGCTGGTTTGAGAATCAGTTGTACACACATTTCATGATTGTAACTGACTCATAGAGCATGTTGAGAAAGATGGAGACAGGCATGCTATATGCCGAATGGCAGTCAGTGCTTCAGAGGTCCCGCGTAGTTAGCGTCAATTAGATATTTTCTCAAGGTCATGCAGGTGTGTTGAGGAAATGAGCAGGCAGATAGACTAGTCGGTGTGCACCACTTGGTGGTGAATTGATGTATGACAAGCTAGATCTTGTCAGGGCCCTTTGGGAGCAAGTGAACAGTGCGGAGGGACAAATAGATCATTACAGTCTCAGGAGAATGGCGCTGCGAGGAGTTACCAGTGGATGTGACTGAAACTGAAGGAAAAGACAAGATGGATATACAATCAGGTGATACCATCGGAATTATAACTCTTCGCTCACTGCTAAAGATGGGGGACGAAGCACTTGTGGAAGTGTCCCGAGTGCTGTGATGTCGATCGTTAATTCAACAGAAAAGAGGCAGACCAAGAAAGACCAGGATACAGAATTTGGCTAGACGGACCTAAAACGGGGAAATATCAGGTCCATTGTGTCTTGACGGACAGGGGTGTAGGTGGCTAACCAATCAGCCAGCATCAGCTGGTGACCCATTGACCCGCAATGTTTTGGAACAATGATGGTGTTACATTGTTTAGATGTGCTGCTTTTAGATAATTATTATAATGTGCAGTTCTGCGGCTTAGAGGTTAATGAATGCATTTCACAATGTGCAGTGTACCAGGGTTTCTTTTTCTGCGTTCATCCTAGGATGCAGTTGTCTTGTGTCCGTTTAAAGCATGGCTGCATCTTACGGCCGACACATCTGACTTGATTGGATTAGCCTTCCCAGGGTCTGATCACTATGGATTACATAAGAACCATTTTCGTGGCTCTGAGATAATGGTATGAGAATTGCTTCATGGAAGGGATAATATCCCCAACAACAGCTATGGATCTATCCTCTGCAGCCAGCCTCCATTGTGGAGAAAGCAAATAATCTGTGTGTCTCTCAGTTTAGTGCTCTGGGTAACTGGATCATTCAGTGCACAAACTCTAAAAATAATGGATTATTCAGTGCACAAACTCTAAAAATAATGGAATATTCAGTGCGCATTTCATAAATAATATCTTGTTAATGGTAGAAGACTGTTTGTTAATGCTTGTTTGAGTCTTATCTGTGCTTCTGCAAAGAAATGCCACTTGTAAATTTTGTAGCATTGTTTCTGAACATTCTTGAAATCATGAGTTGCAGTTGCTTCTGCTTCTTATAGTCTAGGCCATGTGGCATTGGTATCTTGTCTAACCACAACTTTCTGTCTCGTGTACTTTCAGTAAATTCTGGATCAGAATGATGTCAGACAGTCCAGCATCTTTTCTCTTGGTTTCTGTCTGCCTCCCCTTCTCCAGCTTTCCCTTCGCCATGTACCCCAGTTTTCTCCTTCTCATGACATGACCAAAGAATGTAGATTGTCTCTGCCTGATATGGCAGTCTGTTATCTTCGAGAGTCAGTTTCATTCAAGACGTCTTCATCACTCCTTTTATCTGTCCATGGTGTTTACATCATTCATCTATAAAACCTCACACACACGTTGGTGCCCTTGTGCCGTGATGTTGATCCAGTTAACCAATCATCTGCACCTCTAGTGGCAGTGTTTGCTGAGAAATATTCAGTGTTTGCCACGTACAAGAGTGGGAGCTATGGAGATTTAGTCTCCGAACACAATTTACTTGTTCAAGTCATAAAAATCACAAGTAGATATTAACCCTCTCCTCACTGGAAGTCTACCAATCTGGCAGATCCATCGTTGCCACATTCCCGTAAAGACTGCAAAACCGGCATGTCTGCAATGAACTGTTTCCAAGAAGCGGAGTTAAACATTATTGGTTCTGTTTGCATCTGCACAGCCTTTAGGAGGTCTGATATGAATATATATTTACTAAAAATTGAAAGGGGGGGGGGGCAGTTTACCTTTTTTTTAAAAACCATGTTGACACAAATCTCTCTTGGCCTCAATGATAGGGATTATTCAGAACTTCAGTCTCATCCTCATCATGTCGCAGGTCCTTTGCAGATCATCACTCTCATCATGTAGCAGGTCCTTTTGCAGATCATGACTCTCATCATCATGGCCTGCATGACAGAAACTGTCTCTAGCCAGCTGTCCCACATCGTGCACTTTCCACCCCAAGATATCACTTATATCCTCTGCCCACCTTCATTCTGGTCAGCACCTATCCCTCTTTCTTGGCACCAACCATTCTTCTTTTATTCTTTCCAATCTGGCATGCTGTTTCATATAGCCAAAATATTTCATTTCCTGATACATCGCTGTGTAGTAGCCAATCTTCCTTGATGTTCAGATCTGTAAAGATGTCAGTATTTCTGTCCTTCTAGGTCCTTGATATTCTGAACTATAGAATTTCAGCTCTAAGGCCCATATTTTCTTCCTTAATTAAAAGTCCATGACTGACACTCAGGTGTTGCTATAGGGAAGGTGCATATCTTCCGTGTAAAATGGGATACTCTTTACGCCTGAGATGCAAGAGACATATGGTGCTATGACTGCCTTTACTTCCCAAGATATTACCTGTTACCATTTTTAGGCTGGGTTGACTTAGGCGCCAAGGTATAAAAAAAGATGCGCATCTATGTGCATTAGGGGTCAAGCTCTTTAGGCTAGCAGGCGAGGACTTAGCCGTTACACCTATGCGGCTCCCCAAGCAACAGTAGTTTCGCAAAATCACAATTCAGATGTTCCGGCAACCACACCATCATCATCAAGTGCTGACTGGTGTAGGCGATCATGTCTCTCCATAATTTGCTATCTGCGACTGCATGTATCAGTTCATGTGGCAACCACACAAGTCCTCACGAGGAGGTTTCGACATCGCTGCAGA